GCTTGCGATATATGTTAGAAAATAAATTGATTTACAATTAACATTTTAAATTAAGTCATTTCTTCTAAATGTTTTATAGAAATAAGAATTTTAAAAAGGCCTTAGCGCAGTAAGAATTTCAAAAAAAACTTGTCTTGCAAATACTTTATCCTATTAGCAAAATATTTTCATACAACTTATTGAGAATTTTAAAAAATTCTCTATGAAATATTTTTGCTTAGCCTACTATGAATTTGAAAAAAATCTATTATACAAAATACATTCAAGAATTTTTTAAAAAAATTCACTCTACAAAATATTTTTACCGATTAAGAATATTGGTGCAGAAATTTGATCGATGACGTAACTTTTTTGTAGCATCCATGGTCGTAACTCAAGACGTGATTGATACGTCAAAAAGCTACAACTAACGTTTGTCGTAATGTTGGATATATGCTGTAAAATTGGCTTATGTCGTAACTTTAGATATGTGCCATAATAATAGACCATACCAATCATTCGTTATATGAAAAAAACTGAACTCAAAATCTATCTGTACGAAAACTTTTCAGATAGTGAATATATTAATAAACCTTTAATACTGTATAATAAATTTTTTAAGATTTTTACTACAGTAGTAGAACAAATCACTTCATTAAAATGAAAGTGCCTTATTAATTGTCATTTATAAAATGTAAAATTTTTTCTCTTTCAATTGAAATGTACCATACATTTTAAAATAAGGGATATTATTAAATGCATTTTTTACGTTCTTTTAAAAATAATTAAAGTATCAATTTATATATTTGTTTATATATATATGCAAATTCTTATTAAATTTTTCAATGTAAAGCTATTTAATATAATCTGCGTTTATTACAGTAATTATTTAATCTCCAATTCAGCACTTAGAATAGTATCGACAAGATCTTCAGGATTAAAGTCCATGTCAATATTGTCTTCAATACTATCAGTCATATCTGCAATGTCAGTAGAAAATTCAAATTGTGCGATTTCTCTATCTTGAAAAATGGGATCCTGCAAATTTACTACATCTTCTAAAATTATATAATTTAGAGATAATGAGTTTGAGCTTTCTTCATACGTATCATCATTATTTTCACCTATTTCATCCTCATCTGAAATATAATTATCAATTGTTGCAATCTTTACCATCTCATGTAATTCTGATTCAGTCAACCCGGCATCAAAATAAGTAAGTTCACTTCGTATATTCGTCATGTAGTAAAACCTAATTTTAGCCATTCCTTCAAGCTTTTCAATTCCAAGACGCGTTCGTTTGTCTCCAATAAACTATTTAAGAGTTAAAAAATTTCTTTCGCAATTAGCTTGAGAAGGTGAAATGCTGAAAAGTCTTTGTGCAAGTTTAGAAAGATGTTTGGGTCGATTTTTTATAGATCCCCACCACAACATAGGTGTATCAAAACCTTGAACATAGGGTAGGTCAAATGGTTTTTTATTAGCATCATAGTAACGAAATTGTGAAATTAGTTCTTTATACTCTTGGGCAGTGTAACCTAAGTTCTTCCATAATGTTAATGCTGCTATAGCGGCATTTTGAAATGCCTCATTTCGAAGTCCTAATCCTAAATAAAAGAAGACAAAAATTTATTATATGCAGTATAGTATTTAATATGTAAGTTATGTATGTACTATGGTAAAGCGGATGAAGATAGTAACTTAAAAGATATAAAGGATGTTGAAATTCTGCATAATGTCGATTAAAGATTTGAATAGCAGCAGGCTTAAACAGGTTAATTTCAGGAATTTGATAAATTGTAGCAGCCAACTTTATCATATTTATGTAACAATCTGCTAAATTTGCCGAACTAGATTCTAAAATATTAATACAGGTTTTTATTGGCTTCCATATCAATCGGATTTGTCGACATGCAATAAAAAAGTCTTCATTATTTAATAGGTTAAAAATCTCTGTATTTGTAATTGCACG